TTATTTCTGAAAGAGAGTTCAAACGTTATATTGATGCCAATACTCATCGTGATATCATCGCCAGCAAGCATTATAGTAAATGTAGTTTAATTAAAAGTTCGCTGTCGTTTATTTATTTCCGGAAATTGAATGTATTTGCATATAAGAGAAGGACATACTTTTTTTGGTTCAAGTTTTCACTTCGCTTTGAAGGTAACATTACAATACATTAGCTTGCTGCACATACTTTATATGGTAGAGTCATAAACAAGGATTAAATGTGTTCGAAACTGAAACAATTAAAATAAAATATATTTGAATTTTTATTTGGAGACACGTTAAACTCGTTGCATACTGTTTGATACCCGGCATCACCGAAAGGCATGGGTAAACTCGTTTTGGGAAAAAGTTTGTAACACACGGAAGGATGCTTTAGAGACCGGACAAGGTATGCGTATTTTTGATCAATTGCAGATTTTATATCGATCATGTATGTCTATTCGTCTGTGTAGATGAAAACTACGATATCGGTTTCAAATTTGGTAAAAACATTGCCAGTTGTTTCGGGCAACAATGATTAAATCGAAATGAACCAGCTCTGTCGAGGGTCACATTTACAATACAACATAAATCAGAAACACCTGTCTTTTTAATATAAAACAAGTAACCACATTATAGCCGACCACAACTTACCATAAAATAATGTACACAACTTCGATTAATACGACTTCGATTAAGCGGCTTTTCATACAAAAATGTATATAAAAATTTATCATTATATGAGAAGTGATCGAAAAGGTGGCCCTACCTGCGTCATTCCCATTAGTGTTCGTCCGTAGACCAATGCATGTTGCTACATTAGGTTCAACCATAATATCGGGAAAATGCAGACTCGCAGGCTGGACACAATAATTAATGGACAGACTTCAGAACGACAGGTAGGCAGGCAAGCATAGATTTAGAAAATGTTTCTGATACAGAAATGTCATTTTTTTTTTTGCTAGGGTTGGAGGTGCACTACATTCGGCCAGAGCCGAATTTGTTGTCCTTATTTGTTTTTGTCAAGATGCCATATGAAAGGATATTAATGTTCAATACGGATGCTACCCAGCTGTTTGCAAAGTATTATATATGAGAATATTTAATGGCTTTCGCGTTACGACAAAGATGCATTTGCTTTTATTACCGCTATCCGAATTTGAGGTAAACTAGTTTCATGCGTTTGTTCGTAACGCGAAGGTCCTAGAAAAATGTGATAATAATTAGCTCGGAGTTTTGTATGGATTTGAGCTGGTCCGTCGATCTATCGACTCCTCTGTTATAGGAATTCTCGCAAAAGTTTAATAAGAAACGCTAGGTTTTGCAAATACAATTTTGGGTTACTTCCACTAATTAGGACGGCAAATAAGCACGACTTGCCTCCAAAATCCTATAAAATCGTTTGTTTATATTTTTCTTAACATTGCATTTACCTGAAGCGGTTACTTAGCAATGACAACATAAAAGAATTAAGTTCAGCATGTATTTCAAAACATAAATTTTGTTTATTTATGTACTTTTTTCTTATATGCGGCCAGTCACCCAAGGGAAGTCTCCTAGGAAGTTCTGCAGGAACGATGTCAATGAGGAAAGATTATAGGTAGAGAGAGAGATGTTCACTTTTTCATCTAGATCAGAAAAGAAGAATAGAAATACGAAAAAAATATAAAATAAGGAACATTTCGAGACATAACTGTAAATAATCCATAAGCCACGTGCAAGTAAAATACAAATTGGTGAAAATGCGCTTACGATTACCAGAAAGTTTCGTAACTTTTGTTTATTTAAAAGTGGTAATGAGTATCCAAAGTTCCTTTCAAAGTGAGCTGACAGTGGTTATGCAGTCACCAATCCTGTGGAGTTAAATCTAAAAAAGAAGAAGCTGACATTATCTTTGAAGCTGCCTGGAAAGCAATCGTTTCTCAGCACTCGCTGCATGTACAACTAATTTTTTGTTCCTTTTGTTCCCAAGTTTATTGAACACTAACACCATCACGCCTATGCCCTAAAAAGGCAGCTTTGGTCATTTTTCTGAGTTGGAAGGAAAGCTAATAGAATAATATTTGAAGCAATTATCAATCATTACACCTTTCATTAAAAAGAAAGAGAATTTTTTTGGAGTAATATTACAAAATGGCAAACTCGAGCCATTCTGTCAAGGCAACAGGCTTTACGGCTCATGGTCTAGTAGCCGCAAATTTGAATTTAGAAAAAAACGCATGTAATCTCAGTATCTGTAGCCAAGAGATGCCTAAAGAAATGCTGATTTCTCCGTGCTTGGCTGGCTTTTGGATGGAGAATTTCAATTTCCGACCAAAACAAGCGAAAACACTCACCTCACCGCTAAATATTCTACTCCAACTCGCAAAGACCTTTTTCTTCACTATATTATATGATGAAAAAGATGAAAAAGCGGTCCAATTCGAACCAACTTGAATAGCGTTCAAACGTGTGTTGGTTAAATACAACAACGTAAAAAAAACGTAAATCGATTCAGAATATGGCTCTGGTTTGGTTACTGCAATCTCGCACAAAGTTGCTATACCCCTATACAACAAGTAACAAGTGAGAAAAACTCCTTTGTACCTTTTGTGACATCCTTGTTTTAGATGAGAATAATCGAAATATATGGACTTGACTTACTCTTTTTGCCCATTTTTGCACTAGGGCTTTACAGTCACTCAAATGATGATCGAATACATGTACTTGGAAATTCTGTATCCGATGTCAGTGCAGGCGTGCCCATTAACAGATCTGACCCTATTTTCAATACCAACATGATTGCAATAACTTATGATGTCTTTGTCAAGTTTGGAGCTGATGGGAAGAATGTTTATCATGCCTATTTTCATAGACGGACAGATGGACGAACAGACGGTGTATAGATAGATCTAGAATTTAATTCTTGATCAAGAACATACATGCTTTATAGGATCTTTGAAGTTTTCTCCTGCCTGTTACAAACACTTTAACAAAACAACCATACCAGTCAACCTCCGGCGTGGAATATAAAAAGCCGCCATTTGTAGTGTACGAGAATGGTAATAAGTTCCAGGCATAAATCTGAAGTGAAGCATACGAAACACGATTAAAATTTAAAAAAAAAAATGCTGATTAACTTTTTGAACACAACAGTGCTTTTCGCTTCCTGTTTTCCGACAAAGGGCTTGATTTTCATAACAATTGCTATATATTTTAAAGTTCGTGCAGTTATTTTGAGCTAAATTGCTACTACGCACCAACTTTCATCGTATAGTTGAAAAGTATACCTTCTTATCATAAACCGATTTACTTTCCATAGGAACAGTCATATTAGGGGGTGTTCAAAACAAATTTTTCAAACACTATCGCAATGCTGTTGCACGGCGAGTTTTGTTGTAAATCAAAAAAAAAAAAAGGTACAATTTTTTCATGCAATCCAGTATAAGGTTTTATGCAGGGACCGGCCGAAAAAGTGGACCGATCTGACCGGTTTTCAAGAGTATTTCGTTCTTTGGTCAAAGCACGTAGGTGTAGCAAATTTCACCAAAATAGCGACCTATAGGTTGAGGCCAACAATACGGACAGATGAGCTTAGATTGCTTTAGAAAATGAATGTGATCCGAAAGGCATAATAAAAAGTAGGGTTATCTGAAGCGCTTCTAACTCTGCACAAACTTAATATACTTTGTACCACAGGCTATTGAAATATGAAAGATGACAACTGATGGCAATAATCTCTTGCCTTAAGGACATAAAAAGCTGCACATCATGTTCAGATATTCTACCACATTCTCCGTTGTGGCAGATTTTACTGCAGACGCTGTTGAGTTTGCTGCCTTTGCACTATACCTTCGCCTTTAGAGAAATGATTAGGAATGCGGCAAGAAAACGTTTCATTCTGTAACGGAGTCCACAGTCAGCATGATGGTCTTCATGTCACGCTCCTAGTACAAACACTAACGTACTTCGAATCGATCTCTAAGGTTTTTCTACGCTCGACGGTCCATCCTTTGCGCGCGAGTACGGGTTCGAAACCCATTCACATCACCTGTCATATATTTTTAAATTAAACAAACACATAACAATATAAATAATTTAATTATCAAATGCAGTCCTATCCAGCAGCAGTGCAATAGGTGTCAGCTTATCTATCTTTCCACATTTCAAATTTTTGCGCCTCATTTTTTTCGGCAGCAGAATTACTTACTCAGGATTTACTTGTGTTCATATGGCCCAGTCTAGGGGCAGATGGGAGGAAAACTCAACTTCGACCCCTGCTGCTGGTAGGCCATAAGAAATTGTACTCATTGTACATATTAGAGTGTATTAGAGAAGTTACAAACTAACAGAGAGGACATTGTATGGCAATTTCCCATCATAGACTTACCTAACATAGATGATCGATCTCTTCGTAGCACTGAGAAAAAATTCTTTCTGATAATGAAAGGTTCCTCAAAAGCCGAAAAATTTACGGCAGTGCTGCGTTTGCTTGGTTGAGCGGACAAGGTTTTGTAGCCCAGCAAGGGTGGCGTTAAAATTATGATTCTCTTTTCAGTACGAGACCGACATTTCCAAATTCCAAAAATAAAGTTTTCACGTAATTGATTGCGATAATGACATTAGTACGCAATTTCTTTGTTTGTTATTTGTTTTCAAAGTCATAAAACCTTTTCAGCAAAAGTACCTGCAATCAAAACACCTTGTAAATTTGAAACCCATTAATTGCGTGGGAAATCCTTTTTTCGACAAAATTTCCTCATATTTAAAATTTCTTTACACTATTATGTGGTCAACGTCTTAATTGTTGAAAGTTTCTAAATTTTCCGATAACGCAGTAAATATTCGAAACTTTTCCTACTGCTAAGGATTAAGATTACAATTTAATGCCCCCATGTATTATCGAAAAAGTATAAAAAGTGTTATCTAATAAACCTGCTGCTCAGTTTGCAAAGAAAAGCTAACAGCGTTAACATCGGTCACGAAACAAATATCATTTAAGTATGGAAATAAACGCTAACTATATCAATTTGGTAGACTATCCATTTTACGAGGACTACGGCAACCTGCCAAATACCTATACGGATTTTGCATGGTTGATTGGAGGACATGACAATGCGGGAGCAGAACCAGTGCAGCAATATGGTTCAGCGTCTACATTAATTGCTGATCAACGCACTGCAGAAGTGTGTTCAGCAACCTCTATGCAAAGTGATTTGCTGCAAAATCATCAAATTGTTGGTTATTCCGAGAGAAGTGGAACCTTTCAACGGCCATATCATCCTTTCGATCTAGGATCCACTAATCAGTCGTTGGCCCCAGACCCCAGCCATGCGATCTGCTGGTCGCCAGACTCCTTAATACAATTAACGTGCCAAAACCCTTTCAATTATACCCCATCTACACCAATAGATAAGCCTGACGACTATCCAACTACGATTCACGAAATAGAACAACGTATAGCAGTCGAGAGAGATGAACAATCTCAGCAATGTGATTCATACCCAATCAGTACTAAAGGCTCGTTAGAAGGCGGGCCCTACAATTCCGGAAGCAATAACATTGCTAACGCGGATATAATAAATGCTGCATTTTTACCCGAAATTAGTGGGTTTGCAAAAAGCGCTTATGTTCAAGCGCCAGTGGGTACCTCGGCCGCGCAGTCAAAGAAACGTAAACGCGATGTCGCTGGTTTTGGCGAGAGCCCATCTTCTCTCAACTATCCGAAACGTAAGCAAATACACAGTAATGTTGCTGAAGTCGATGGCATTAAATTACCGGATGGTGCTTTCAAATGCCTCATGTGCGACAAAGAGTGTAGTAAGATGTATGGTTTGAAACAGCACATCAATGTTGCTCATTCGGGCGAGCGCCTGCATCGTTGCACTTCATGCGGTAAGCGCTTTGATACCAGGGAAAGCTTAGAACGTCATGGTTTACGCCATACAAACAGCGGCAAGATGTTTAAGTGCCAAGAATGTCCAAAAGATTACCATCAAAAGAGTGATCTAAATCGCCACATCAAAGAAAAGCATACACGAGCGCCATTAGGATGTCATTTATGTACAAAAAGATATTCCCGAAAAGATCATCTACTGAAACACATCAACACGCATTTGAATCCCAAACGAAGAGGAAAACCGGCCCAAAGTCACTCCTGAGTCATACATAATAGTTTTAGGTTAAGAAAAACAATTTTTTGATTTGCGCTGACACACTCTTGCACATTTTGTAAGAGACTTTAAAATTTTCGCTAGCTTCTAAGTTTGATAAATAACATTATATATATTGTAAATAAACAAGTAAAATAAAAATTTTGTTGTTTAATTCAATCAAATATTTGGAAACGTTTTCGTTTTAAACTTTCCTTAAAATTTAAGATTCGCTAACACTGCTGCTCAACTATTCCCTTAATTTCTTAAATTTCAGTTCTCGAACTAAGGATTTGCATCCCTTGCTTATAAAGCCTACAGAATCGATAGCGAATTGTACAATTTGCTCTTGCTGGCTTAAAAGGGCCGGCGGTTGCCCGTGCAGCAGAATTACTTACTCAGAATTCACTTGTATTCATATGGCCCAGTCTAGGGGCAGGTGCGAGGAAAACTCAACGTCGATCCCTGCTGCTGGTGGGCCATAAGAAATTGTACTCACTGTGCATATGAGATGTGTGATGATTGCTAACAAGAGGACTTTTCCATTTTCCTTAAGAAAATTTTTTGTGCTCATACGATCTAAATCTCCTCAGACGCAGGGGGTGCTTTACAAATCCAATTGTTTGATGGGAAATGGCCTGTGAAATTTACATCGTTGAACACAAAAATGAATAGCTGCCAGTTCCTGCACGGGTATTTCAAGGCCAGTCGCTGAATTCATTCGCGAGCGTATTCGGGATATTTCATGATAATCGATTTCGTTTTTTCTTTTGTTGTCCGAAGAGAAGACTTATAGCAATTAACGGACATTTCGTAGTATTATTTAGGAAACAGTTGAAAGAATGATACATGGAATAGGAAGATAATATTATTATAAGCGACATAGGCTTAACTTGTTGTAAATATTTTAAATCAAGATTTTGTGAAGAAACGAGTTCTTGTTTGTCCCATTTTTTTTTTCGTACGGCAGCGAAATTTTCTACTTTAAATACGAGTTACATACATTTATTTATATATTCATAATATTAGTTCATATTTTTTGTGTTGTCTTATAGCTCTAGTGTCCGACTACACATTTATATAAAAATGTCATTCCTTGTTGACATATCAATATTTCAGTTGTAATACCACTTTTTCATAGAATTTTTTTACATTTTAGTTTATTGAATGAAATAATTGTTGTCTGCTTTATGTGTCATACAATTTGTTGTCATTGATACAATTTTTTCTCTGCGGTAACGTAATTGGCAACAGTGGATTATTATATTGGTATGGCCATTGAAAATGTGATAGTGGACAACACTTGCGTATATAAAATGAATCGATTAAATATACTTTGAGAATGATATATGCCAAAATCGTTAAGAATGTTTTCGGGCAAACAGCATCATAAAGGAATGTACTGCTGTGATTAAAAAAACAATTGCTCTTGACTGATTTTAAAAACACCCAAATTTTTGGATAAAAAAATCGGGAATCATTCGTCCCGTTTGCTCCACAACCAATCTATTTGCCTGATGTAGCAACGTGTGACTTCCGTATGCTCAAGAAACTAAAAAGACCGTTCCGAGGACACCATATGTTCGATTTTGTTGGGGCTGATTTGAAGACAGTATTGAAAGCCATCGCGAAAATACTTTTCTAACGGTTTCGAGGATAACTCGGCATAAATGTATTGTGTTGAGTGCATTGTGTCGATCGAATTTTTCATTTATTTATTTAGTTATTCTTTTATGGCTGAAATAAACATTCAGACGAATTAAGCAACAGTGTCTAGATTGAAGTATTAAGCTATGGCATTATGGAGAAAAACATCGATCAGAAACAACAGCTCAAAGTAAACAGTTTCCAGATCAATATCTTTAGGCTTAATGTACTAAGCGCCGAGCCTAGGTCTAGGTCTTAAACTATGGCGTGAAGAAGGAAATCGATCGGAAACAACGCCAAGGTTCAAAGTAAACGGTTTACAATATCTGTAGCCTTAACGTACTAACAAGCGAGCACAAGCCGAAGAAATTGAACGCTTGCAACTCTTCTCTATAGGAGTGACATCCGAACACTGGAACATCGTGTTAACTGTCGCGAGTCTTACACATGACCTGTAAGTTTACAAACCTTTTGCCAAAAGTCATTAAAGTGGCCACCAAAAAATGCTTGCAAATATGTGTTCCATCGTCTCCCTAATCAATTTAAAATTAGCAAATAGTCTTTGTATGCTTATGGTTAATTTCATACAATTTCAATGCAACATTCACCCATGGAATCTCATTAATGTATGTTTACTTTTAATTTTTACATTTTTTTATTTTTACTTTCAATGAGGGAAAGCTTTTCATGCATTTCAATCCGCGTGAAAAAGAAAAAAATTTACATAAACCCAATTATAGCACGTCAACGAAGAAATACTGAAAAGAAAGAAACACTTAATGATATTTAAATCCTTTTCTCATTTGCTTTACGCGCTCCTTCAATGACCGGCTTGTAAGGCATTTACATTTTTAAAGCTGCAAAATGCGAAGGCAATCTGTGAGTAAGAATGGAAAATTCTACATATGTTTTAAAGGCTTGAAACAGTATGACAGTAAACATTAATTCATCTACCTTGTGCGTCAAGCACTTAATGCGTAAATATGTATTCTTAAAATAAGCACACTTTAGGGGAATTATTGCATTATTATATTAAATATTAAGATTCAAAAAAATATTTCCCGTGAATCATGTTTAATTTTTACATACCCTTTTTCAATAGAAAAGAAACAATTTGGAAATTTAATTAAAGATCCTTGTTTCTCCTTACGTACCTGTCGAATCTGGTGACTAACCTGAAAATACCTGTTTCAGATGAAATCTTAATCACACTTACGCATCTGATTGAAGGAAACAACAAAAAGCATATTATAAAGCTTTACAGCAGCAGAAAATCCTACAAGCAGAAGAAGAAAGACTAAACGTTATATAGTATAAGTATAAATATGTGTGCTTATATACATTTGTATGCATATAAGCAAGGAGAATTCTCTTTGAGGAATGTCCACCAGCAAGTCGTACAAAATCCTGCGGAAGATAGGTCCAAGGTTAGGCAACAACGTAACGCGGCAACAAACAACAGAATAAAAATTCCAAAAGCCTGTATTACAAAAAGGCAAAGGTATTTATGATTCTGAATAGAATGATATAGGAAAAGGTGAGCCATGGTTATACACATACGTTAACATAAGTTTTTATATCCTGTGAACCAACTAGTATAAGACATAGTGAGAAAATTAGATACATAACACGACATACAAGGAAAAGTGAGTTCACTCACAAGCTTTTTAAGAAAAACTATGATTGAAAAATGAAAATACTTACGTGTTAACCCTGATCTCGTTTCACTTCTATATTCAATCACTATCGTGTCAATCAAGATCAAAGCATTTCCAAGAACCCGCCTTGGCCATGGCATTCCAACCCACCAATAGACTCTTAAGGAATCTAGTCCACCTATTCGCAATGGCGAAGAAAGTTTTGAGATTGAATGTGTACCCTGTGAACGTCAAAAGCTTTCCAGTGTTCGGAGTCGTCTTCGGGATGCGCAACTCTATGAAAATCTTAAAAGTACGCGGAAAACATATTATCAGCAAGATATTCAACTTTATTAAAGTAACCAGTCTGCCTTTTAAAAAGAAGAGGGACCGACAGTCTTGGTTGCTAATGCTCGTCTTATTTTTCTGTCCTAGAATTTATACCGTCGCGTTTTGGCCAAAGAACAAACGCCGTTGGAAATTGTTCGGACTAAGTCTCTTTTTCGACCACTTTCCATATACATAAGACTTGTAATAAAATTGGTTGTATTATGAGATGTTATGTTTTGCAGATGCTTACAAGATTTCTATAGGACCAACCGTTCCGAATGCGAATCTTCGAAATGAGGAAAGTTTTTCACCTTCACATATTATGCGTTTAGTTGAAAGATTTTGTCCGCAAAAGCAAACTGGGGTAAGTAGATTTCATAAGGATCTCTGATTCTACGTGTATTGTAAATCGTATCGCATTAATATTTCTGTGATAGTTGGCAGCGTCTCATAGCTTGTTGTAGAAACTTATTTCCATGTTTTCCGTAGTCCTTTTTATTTATATACATTCTTTAATAATTATGGAGGGATCTGAAAAATCATAAATTGAAGATTAAATTTAAAGCTTTCAGGTAAGCGCGATGTACAAGGTTGTAGTTATGATTTAAGGAAAAGGCGAAAATTACATATATATGCAGATATATTTATATATATGTATTTTTTGTTAATTGTAAGGCTCTGTTCAGTTCCCGACATTGCAAGAAAAAACTTAATGTCAAAATGGTTCTCGTACACAAAGTTTTGAAGTAAGTTTCAATAGATTCACCCTTAATCGTACCTGTCATTTTGCGTGTATGAGAAAATATCATGAATTTTTATACTATTGGAAATTATGATGACATGTGCATATAGAAAGCATATGTTTAATTGCACATGGACATTTAAAATGAATAAATGCATAATAAGCCACGTGATGTTTTGTCTTTACATGATTTTGTCATTAGAATTTATTTGTTTAACGAATTAATGAAAAGGTAATTAGGTCACTGTGGAGTTGAGAGAGGGGCACATTTGATGATTGTCAGAAATATGATGAAAAAATCATTTATTATGAATTGCGTATTTATATCAGGAAACACTGCCAGCTTAAACGTCTATACATATTTACCGAAAAACATACCATTAAATTAATTTCATGGAAAACCGAAAGAGTTTCCTATTATTTTTAGAGTGAAACCAACTCTATTATTTTCTAATAAAAACTATTGTACGCACGTGCAGCATATCACTCAATAATTCAAAATGGCGACAGACCCACATAATTCCTAAGCAATGCCAAGCTTTACTATTTCTGACAGACAATTAAGTTACAAGTTAGAGCTGTTTTAGTGAAGCTACTGTTGCGGTTTTCAACATAGTAGAAACAAGCTACATTCTTTGTTTTGCTTTCTGATGGGGGAATATCCCGTTACCAACCAGTATTGCCTGGGAGTTGTTATGTCGTTTCTTGCCTTTCAACAAAACTTATGTGGGTAGTTTGCTAATTTTAGCAAAGTCGCATGGACACCCACAACAACGACACATGTCGTTAGAAGATTGGCATTATCCACAAATCATGGCTCTATCAACTGTGTTGCCATATCAATGTCAGGCCGGAGAGATATTAAATGATGTCATATAATTATAATTTTGAATAGACACGCAATTCATTTGAATGCAGCTTTTAAGTAAATTCACGATATAAAAAATTTTGATCGTAAGTGGAGATATTGTTTTAGGCTGTCGCATTTTTCGGTTGAAGTTAATATGAATCAAACAAATGATTTTAACAAAACGACATTTTTTCATTTACTTTGCTTTGTTGGAAGAAAGTAATTACGTTTCTTACAATTTTAGGATCAATTCAATTAGAGTGTTTACTGACGCAGTGTGTTCCGGTGGAATGATAACAAAAACTTTTCTATGATTTGTGTAAAGAAAATAATATCTTTTAATTTAGTAACAGCTCTGAATCTGAGTATAATTTTCTTTAATCATAATTACCTTTCCTTGTGTGGACATTGTAATCTATTATAATAGGACTTAATGGCTTCAAGGTTGCATAAGCGTCAGGAAGAAAATATAATAAACATTTTAAAGAATTGCGAGTTTTGTTTTTTTTCACGAACTTGCTGGAAAGGCGAACGTAATTTCGAAAAATGATGAAAAAACATCTTTGTCTTCGCTTCTTAAGTGTTCAGCGAGACAACAACATATGGTTGCCCGCGTTATGAAAAGAAAATATTTACACTTCTTTGTTTAACTGAGCTTTTTTATTATGATTTCTTATTCCTTCCTCGTTTCATAATTCAATTAGTTCCATTCCATTCCATTATTTTTTTCCAAATCTGAAGGTTGACTCTGTGCTCCTATCTTTCTCACTCTACAATGCTGAATGCTTTAAATTTGTTGTTTAACACTCCCACTTGGCGCTACTGACATTAATCATCGAAAAACTTGTCTTCTTAGAAAAACTTTTGCAAATTTTTGATTAGAAGTATGTGGAAAATATTGGAAATGTCCGGTGAAAAGTTTTTTATAAACTGCACTTTAACCAACGACGAGAAGATAATGTGCGTTTTATTGTCTCTAAATAAGTGCTGGTTCGCAACGTTAACGGATGACGAAATCAAACAAAAAGTCGAGGTATTTGAAAAATTGTTTCCTTCTCTCCATCATCGAAGGATGATTTCGTCAGTATAATTGTTTTACTTGTTTCCATACCTCCTTTAACTATTAACTATTAATATCACAGTTATTAAACAAACGTATGGAATATAATAAATTCGTGAAAAATACTTTATTAAGCGGCGATTTAGCACAAGCTTCTATAGAAGAATTGGCACAAACAAACATAAGTGATGGAGTAAACAAACGTTTATTGAAATTAAAATATCGTATAGAAGAATTGCCATTTAAATTCGAGTGGTCTTTAACCCAAGCGTGCACGGAAGAAGTAAGAAAGTTCTAGAATATAATAAAATAATCTCCTTATTCCATTTCAAATTTTGTAAATTTGTTTTCCAGTTTCAGCGTAATTTTTTTCTTCTTCTGCTTCTAGCTGTTGACGGTTACAGGCAACAAGTGCAGGAACTAAAGTCAATAATACAGAAAAAAGATGAGGAAATTAAACAATATCGTGGAGAAGGTTTCACTTTACGTAGGAGTAAGCTTTTTTTTCATATTTATATACACGTTTGCACATGTAAATTTAATTGATTTTAGCTACGGTTCTCACCAAGCCGTTCGATGCTGACGACTTCAATAATAAGCGCAAGGATCGCAAATGTGTAAATAACTTTGAAGATTTATCAAAATGTGTTTCAGCACTCCAAGGTACTCATCAATTAAGTAACGCTGTGTCAAGTAATGAACTTTCGGATTAATCTTTGGTGCGCTGATATTTGTGTGAGTGATATTCGCAGTCTTACATCCCATTTGGCATCTTGTGTCTAACAGTTTTCCAGATTCTTCGAATATTTCTTCAGTAATGTTGTAATCCGTCCCGCTCTTTGTCTCTTCATTTGTTTTTCGCCCTTTTGCCAGCGATGGAACATTTTGCATTCTAAATGGAATCTCTTGATTTTCTTCAGGCTGCATAGATTGACCTCCTTCAATATTCTCATCGTTAACAAGGGGTTTCTCGGAAATCGGGTTTACCTTTTTAATGCGACCGTTGGGATGCTCCAAAGTACTCATCAATTCAATAACGCTGTGTCAAGTAATATGAAATCATCCCCATCACCAATCAATAAGAAATAAAAACCTTTTTAAATAAACACAATGGTTTTACATTTACATCGGAGACTTATTTTACGGGCTATATTAAGTTTGCGCGGACCTTTGTAACACCGTGGGGCGTTTAAGAGAGGCCCTCCTTTTAATGTCAGAAAATCATTGTGGATCAGTCCAGGCATGTCTGTCCGTGTGATATTTTGTTTTTTGCTTCAACCTACAGACCGCAATTGTCGGGACATTTTGATGGAATTTTTTACCTTGACGTGTTTTGACCCAAGAACGAGCGCTATTAAGCCTTGAGGTCGTTTGGCTTTCTCGACCGTTCCTCATATAATGACTTTTCAAAATAAGCCAAAAGATAAAAAAAATTGCAATATTGACTGTTTCCCGGGAAAAGTCTTTCACATATTGAATTTCTGCACGCATTCTTACATACCCGTTCCTATAAAAACTGAACCATTATGTGGTAAAAAGAAATTACTTTCCTTGCAATCCAATACATAATTGAAAATTCACGCAAATTAATTTCTATTGATATGAAATTCTATCCACAATCAATCATTTGAAGTTATGGTATTGAATATCCAAATGTACGTACGGCGAACAAATCTTTCGTTCTTTGATTTAGAATTCTGTAAAATCTGCAAATAATCCAAAATGGACCTAAAATAATACCTGAAATTTTTTCCAGTAAAATAACATATACATGTACATAAAATTATGAGAAAAGTTTCATTTATATTATAGTTATAAAAACTGGTTTACTCTGCCTATGCATTTTGTATGTAACGCTAAATGAATTTTAAGCAAAGTTTGAAAATTTCTGGAATTTCGTACATTTAATCTATAATCCTAATGAAAGAATAGCAGGTATGTGGTAAATCATAGACAAACCAAAAAATTAACAAAGCGTCGGATGTAAAGGGTAGGTAAAAGAAAAGTCTTTGAAATTCCACAAGAATTCCACAAGAACTAAAGGTACCTGCTTGTGTGTATAAAAGTCTTCCAAATAACTGAAAATGAAACAGTTTTAAAATAAAACCTTGTGCGTTAACTTAAATTTTGCAAGTGCCCAGTGATATATTTTTAAAAATGGTGAAAAGCTTCTTAAAAGCAGCGCATACTCGTGTAGAGGAATTGAAGCGACATTTCGAGGTGAATTTACCGAAAGAATTGCCTAAAGCAACCGGATCGAACTATGAAAAAATTGAGGAGAAATCCAAAATCGAAGAAATCATTTCTCTATTTGATGCAAAAATCTCCAAAGCTGCTCGTGGTAAGAAGGGAGAATTAACAAAGTTTGGAACATTGATTAACGAACATTCAGCGGAAGGAGAGCCGCAACCGAAACCATTATTACTTAAACCCATTCCTAAAATCCGTTATAATGTTCTTCATAAGAATAAGCGAGTAAGCAAATGTGCTCGGAAGCCACCGGTCGTAAAATGTGCAAAGTCCTTAAATAATAACCATGAAAAATCTCGGCTTCAGCATCCTTTAAGTGAGCAGGATTTTAGTCAACTTTCGGTGAAAACTAAAATCCTTTTGTATACAAAATTCATCGAGGACATGTTAAAGGTAGATGCAAACTACGAATATAAAAATATAAAGACTCGTCATCAAGAAAACGTATCCCAAGCATCAGTTAAACGTTTAGTAGAAGAATATGAAAAACGATGTCTTCTAACTCGGCACGACTTTTCAGCCAAAAACCAAACACGGTTAATACAAAAACTGGACGAGATCGACTCGCGCGCATCGTGTAAAGCGTCTGCAGAAGTTGGCGAAATCATTGAATCGTTCATAACTGCTAAGAATTTCAAGATAACTGGCAATACTAAAAAATTTCCAAAAGAAGCTGAACAAAATCATAACTGCGGCTCCCCATCTGCAAGCTTAGCCAATGTTAATGTAGACAACTTAGAAGATGACATGCATTCCCGTAAACGATGCAATGCGGATACCTGTGATACTTCATCCAATAAAAATAATACCCCTCATATGCCACAAGGCAACGCAGCACTGCTTCGAAATCAGGAGTGGAAAGAGCTATTCCATAATTGGCTGAAAGAGCAGGATAGAAGCTTTTTTAATTCGAACTTTTTTGAAAATGCGGGCGAATCTCCATCAAATAACAGCAATGCGTCGGAGACTTTTTCGCTCTCGCAAAAATGCGCTTTTGATAGGTACTTAGAGGAAGCTGTAGGGAAACTTAAAAATGAGTGTTCGAAAGACAAACAAACCGCTTGTGTTAACGAGAAGAAAAAGGACTCCAATGGAGTCGCAACAAACGAAATTCCAGCGTTCGCAGATTTCGCGCAAAAGATTGAATTAGAGGACATTACTTCTATTAGTAAAGTTAAAAGTCTAGAAATTGAATCGGGCTTAGCCAAGGTAAATGTTATAGATTTCCTAGCAAAAGCATAGGAGGCGATTATAAATTTCTTTCTCAATTATTTACAGAATGAACACCGTACTGTTTGCTTTCTTAATCTGACTAAAGAGGATTCCGAAATAATGTCGCCAGAAACACTATCAAGGAAAACGAAGCCGGATTTCGCCCACACACCTGCAAAGGAAACTTATAATCATTGCTCATACTCGGACAGCGATTTTGAATCTTCCACTTCAAACGAATCCAAGAAATTGTCTGCGGAAAGTAAAGACACGAAAAGAAAACTTTTCGCTGATAGCAACGATGTATTTGTCAGCAAGTCTAGCGAAGAGCAAAACCATTTAATATCCAAAGCCGATTCGTCGCCTAAATTCAAACCGGCCCATGCTGTAACAAGTCGATATTTGACATCCACACCAAAGTCAGAAGGCGAGATGACAGATATCGAAAATGTGACGAGATATTCGCTACTTGAACACTTGTTTGTCGAAAACGTTTCTAAATTTTCCGGGTTTATCAAACAAAAATTGAAAGATTGTTCCCTCATCGGGAGTCGAGCGGTTAAAGACTCTAAAACCAACTGTTCCAGGCCACCAAGTTTATGTTCAGAAATTACCTTCAACAGTTCTCCAATTCAACTTGACTTGTCCAGGAATTCGAATTGTCAAACAAGGTCCCCGGACAAACCTGTCGCATATCGTATTAATCTCTCAACTCCAAATATAAATCGAAAACATCAAGACAAACAGCAAAATTTTATCAGTTCCGCACGCTTTCCTCTTAAAAACCGCCAGGCTAGTGTCCGTGAAAGCGAATCTCGGCTTCAGGAGGCTTCAGGACTGATGCACGCAATTCAAAGCAACCAACCTTCAAAACAGTGTGATGTTTGGTCCACTATACCTAGGCATTCTTCAGTATCGGAGCAACAATTCTCTGACGAAAATGGTAGGAAGACCTCAACATTTTGGATAAAGTCGGGGGATTTTTTGTTAACTCTTGATATATATTACGTTGAACCGGAAAAGCTGCGTTTTCATTATGATATGCTTTGTCAGGAAAGCGGTAAAAATCAAATAGTGCACTTTGGAATTGATAATTACAAATTTTCGATACATGAACCAGTCCAAAATGAAAGCCGCCTGTCCTTGCCGAAGCTATCATCGCACTACTGGTTTGCTACCGACAATATAGCTATACCGTTCAGCGGCAAACCTTTGAATGAGTTAAAAATAAAACGAATTTTTGGTTTCGTTAGCGCTTCAGTTTTGGAGACTGGACTTTTACGTTTTGGTGTAGATCACATGGACTTTTCAAAAATACCAGAATTCGTTCTAGAAACGCAACCTTTATCCTTAGAAAGCAATTGGAGTCAACTGATAGGCTTGCAAACGGGTTACAGTAATGGGTTGGAAGGACGTGACCAGTTCGCTTGGCCTTCAACAAAGTTCAGTCTTGATGAACATGGCAATGCAGAAAGATATGAACTGTCATTTCGATTTAACGACAATAATTCCGTTCTAACTGATTTGGACGCTGAACCATCCAGTATGCAAAGCAATTGTGATACTATGTTGGATGCAGACTCACAATATTGTTCCGACTCTTTGGAAAACGCATTCCAACGCATTGAGATCACTTAAACTATGCTCCTGAAAGTAGTCTCGCATCGATGTTTAAACAATTATTTTAATTAAAATATTGGGATTTATTTTTTAAATGTTCGTAATTATTACTTTTTTAAATAAATTTTTATTTTACAAACGAGAGCAAAGTCGGGTTTTCTTTGTTTTTCTTTTTTGGCTGTTAACAAACAATATTAAAAATAGCTTTAAAGACCACATTCGACTTTAGTCCGATCAATTCGAATCAACAGTAAAAGAAATGTATTTTTACACCCTACATCAGTTGTGATAGAAGGATAAATAAAGTTTATGTGTATATATGCAACGCCCAAGAGGATTTGAGATAGACGCCCCTTTTATTATACCTATCGATTAAGAATTAGCCTTGTCTGTCCGTCTAGCCCTCTGTTCATTTCTTGTGTTCAAATTACAGGTCTCCATTTATGAGATGTTTTGATGAAATGTATTACGCTGACGTGTTTTGGCCGACGGAAGAACGTTAGTAATAAAATAGTTCGGATCGGTCAGCCTTACTTTGACAGTCGCTTTATGAATATGTGTATTAAGCAAAATTACAAATTGATGCTTAATGCGAATTATTAAAATTCGTGTTCCACCAGGGTACACCAAGCGCTATCCTTCACATTATTTTATGAACATGCTTGTTCACAGTCATTTTGTGAAATTCCATTTTTGGATGGAATACAGCGTGTCAACACGAAATCATTAATAATAGGGAGAATTTATATATTCGAAGCAAAGAGAACACTAAAAACTAGATATATAGGCAG